GCTTCGTAAGTACTGCGAGGTTCTATCCGAAAAATGGCAGACCTTCTTTATTGTACATATGACTGATTGGCTTTAAAAGATGACTAAATGAGCGTTTTCTGCACTTTAGGCGAGGCGATTACAGTCTTTTCTCCAGTTCGAGAGGTTTCACTGAATCTGTCCAGTTTATATTCTCGCATGCTAAATTTGGATTCACCAAGTTACGCTCTCGTTTGACCGCAGATCCGGAATCTCTGAGTTCCACGCTGTCATTCCGAAGTTTGTGATGTGTTTTGTGAAATCTACAATCGCGGAGTCTGCATTTCCCGATTCCTGGCTGACATCACACTGGATAATAGTTTCAAAAAATCGTCGTCGATCTGAACCGGCTGCTTTTCGACTAGTGGCAATAATGTCAGCACTACTGAAAGTCCTCAAATTTCTTGTCGTGCAAAATATTGACATACTGTTGCATCATACGTCGGTCCATGTCAGTTCGCGTATATGATCAAATTGGGCACATGAGGCATTAACTTACTTCACTAATGCTGTGCGGTATACCTCGACAGGCGGGGTCATTTCGTACGAAGTACTTTGACCGTTCCAGCAACTTTAATACAGTACCCCCTGATCTCTTTCTAACTAAAGTATCTCGATTTGGTATAAATTGGCGCATAATCGCTGGATAGCCGATTACCTATTTCACAGAATGTAATTCAACGTCGAGGTAACATGAAGTCGACTATTATGGTTAACAACCTAGTGCTTCTTCAATGAGATCCTCTTTCCCTTCGGCTGTATACTTTATTCACCCGTGACTCTTTGGCTGCCAGTCCATCTTTGCGCCTCAGATATGCTGACGATCTTGCCCAGGTGTCATATCTTAAAAATAAAGGTGACTTGGACTCTTACCATCGGTCGATCAGAGTCATCGATTATTTCTCAGTTTGGAATGGACTCCAGTTAAATATCCAGCAAACGTAAGCTGGTAGTCATTGCTAAGAACACTAAAAGTCCCATTTTGCCGTGTGAAGTTGCTCAAAATGTCATCGAGGACAGCAACGTTATCCGTCGGGTTAAGCATGTCAAATCTCTGGGAATTGTCATCGAAGAAAACCTGCAGTTGCCGGCACGTGTCCTAGTACAGCTTAAAGTACATGGGACATCTGATTATGCGCGAAAACTAGTTGTCGAAGTCCTCTGTCTGTGATTCCAAAGTGTGTCAACTCTTACGTAATTCTACTCTTCTGTATTCATCGAAAACCTTTTTGCGTAATATTTTAACCTTGGTCCGTGTTATGCATTCAGCGGCTTTCCGTTTCACTCAACACATGAAAGAGTTTCAGTCTGTGTCCGTAATGCAGATCTAAGACTGAATATGAACGTCCTAAACAGTCCGGAGCATTCCCTTCACAGTCTTCTGACTGCCGTTCAAATATTCAGTGTACGTGATCAATTACTGCAACATCTACGCCAGTAGGTCTATCCATAGAGACTCCGTGGACGTAATACTGCGCCTGGTTTCCGTAACCAAAAATTTCCAAACTTGCTCGTACTTGAAAAATTAGGGATGGTTAGTTTTTGGGGACTTGTGATCAGAGATGATCTATTCTGCTTTTCTTGGATTAATTTTTGTCGTTGTTGGTGCTTGCTAAAAGGCGACGTTCTTCGTGTTGGAACTTAAGCAATAAACTGTTTCTGTAGTTAAGGTGTGATTTTGTATTTGTATTGTTCGAAATGAGAGCACTAGCATATTTCCAACTGAAGTAGTTTTTGAAAATTCCATTTTTGCAACATTTTGGTTTCCATTTTTTCTATTCATATCGTTTATTGCATTTACAGTTTATCTTGGGCACGCTCAGCTTGCTCTCGCTAATATTATAAAAGATGTTTTAAGGCTAAACATTTGCCTTAAATTCATTCTGTTTCTGCGTAAGTGAGATTTGCTCTACTGTTCTTATTGAAACTGTTTTAGTTAATTTGACTGTCGAATCCTGCCATGGTTTTCAATCATATTTTTTGATTTTGTGTTTCTCATGGAATCAATTGCTATATATGCCAGTCGTGGAGAACTAGTTTTCAATTGGATATTGGCAATAATGTAAATAGCGGCACTGTCCTGGAAAGTTTAACTGTGAATCTCCTGTATGAATTCGTTCTGTAGCATCTGAATAAATCTGAAATCAGTGCCTTCATGTATGTTCATAGCTTGCACTAATCATCGTCGTTAATTAAGTTATTAGTCATCTACAGCAAGCCTCTTACTAGCGCATAACGACCACCTGTATTCTTGTCAAAGTCGGTGCGAGGCGTTTCGTTTCTGAACCAGTTGTCTTCGCCCTACTTTGACTCCACTTCATCGGTGTGTCTTTGCGGTGCGTATTTTCTCTCAGTAAACGGCGTTTTGGTTCCGTCGTCGTTGAAGTGTCCATTGCTGATGCAGGTTTGTAGATGCTTTCTAATTTCTATCACCTTAGCATCTATGGGCGAAATCCCTGTGAGTAACGAAAAGAATTACTGACTGCCTGCTTTTATCCTTGAATGAAACCACCCCTTTCTTCCCCCAGTGAGGGCATAATTTTCCTCTGTGAGTTGAAATTATGACAAAAATAGCCCGATAGTAACCTCCCACAGTTTCCATAAAGAGTTATGTTGCTTTGTAATTTTAAACAGTTTCGTATTCTTGTTTCTAGAAGGCCGTTCTTGTTTCTGGTAGATGCCGTCCGATGTTTACGTTCATTAATGCTGTTTGTTAAAGTTTGTGTTTTGCCAGGGTATCCATCGAAACAGTGTTAATAGCATGTTCTGATTTACAGTTATCATTAACTGTAGT